ATTCCCGTTTTACCACCACACAGGACGCGATCTTTGCGGTGATTGTGATGGAGGCGGGCATGCAGGGTACTAGTTTCATGACCACCATCAATCCTTTGCACAGCGTCTTCCCCAACGATCCCGAGGCTCAGTTCCAGGCACAAGGTATGCACACGTGTTGTTGACAGCTGTGTGTGTCTGCTGTGGTTGTTGACTAGCACACTTGCCCGTGTCAGCCGCACTATGGGGTGTTCGTATGGTATATACTCCAACGTTTTAGGGTTAGGGTTTTACTGGTCGCATTAACCGTACTATGGGGTATACGTAGAGTATATACTTAAACGTTTACTTTGGAGGTATCTGTTGCGTACGTACAAAGTACTCCCATATGACTACGTCCATCCGAACAATTCGCTGATAATATATACAACCTGCCACTAAGTGTGTGCGCTCACGTCTGCCTACTGTACCTACCTGACTATATACTCTATAGAGATGTCTACCTACTGTACCTACTTGACTATATATTCTATAGAGATATCTACCTACTGTATTATATATTCTATAAAGATATCTACCTACTGTATATACCTGACTATATACTCTATAGAGAAATCTATCTACTGTACCTACCTGATTATATATTCTATAGAGGTATCTACCTACTGTATCTACCTGACTATATATTCTATAGAGTTGTCTACCTACTATATCTACCTTTCTGTACATCCTACAGAGATGCTTGTACTGGAACGGCTGCATCTGGAGGATCTGCTTCCCCCATTGGTCGGCTACACCCCGCCGCGCACTCAGCAACAGCGGATGAACAACGATCCTCTCTTAGCCCAAGACAGTGACACTCTACTGCCACATGACGGCTATGAGGTCCTGGGGAACCATCAGGACAGTCCTACACTGCTGCAGCAGAATGGGACCGCTTGCCACTCACACCACAGCGGTGGGCCAGACCGGCCCACGGGCGCGACCGGCCCACGGCAGGGCCACGTGCCGAATGGTTGCCATGGTAACGCGGCCGATACCAGTAGAGTGACGGGGGATAGGGTGCACGAGAGCAGTCGCAGTGACGGGGCGAGCGACAACTGTAGTGTGGGCACGGGCGATGGTATTGGTCTGCGTGTCAGTGGCACGTCCGACTCACAGATATCCAACACGCACCGCATCCCGGAAACACAACTGACCGCCAAAAGCGGGACGCGGAGGGGTGCTAAACCAGCTCTGCGGTGGTCTTCTTTGGCGCCAAGTGTTCGTGGTTCACAGGAGAGCAGGTCTACACATAGCCACACACCTGACGATACGAGTGATGTGTGCGAAAACGATTCTCCAATCACATTGCCGCACGGGGTGCGTATGTTACAAGCTCTGCGTGCAAGTTATGGTAGTGGCGGCGATGAGATATCACAGGCTACACAGGTCACGAACGACAACAGGACTAGTGACGGAGCATCACAGAGCAAACAGACAGGAGACAAGGACGATGGTCGTGAGGCGATAGAATCACAACACACACGCTCACAGCATGACGCTCCCCAGGCGCATCGTGCACAACCAAGGTCATATGATGCTGAAACATCACAAGGTAGCTGCACACAGAAAAGGTTAGAGAGCTCTGAAGTACCACAGACCAACTGCCCACAGGGTAGTAGTGGCAGCGGGGAGGGTAGCCCCACCGACCACCACAGTGCACACACCAACGGAACTGCTCAGGAGACACAGTGCAGAGGGGCTGGGCTAGAAACATCGGCATGTGGTGTTGCACGTAATGGATTGCAGCGGAGTGCCGAGATAAGGAGCGGTGCGTGTGGAGATAAAGTCGACACTCGCCGGGGTGATGTGACTGTCCATAGCCAGGGCTCCGCTGGAGACGACCACGCAATGAGGAATGAGGATGTGAACCAAGACACGCAGAGAAGCACGGGAGATGTGGTACAGGGGACAGGGGAAGACGGTCACGGTGGCACAGGTGGGGTCAGGCGGGGGGGTGTAAGCGCATGCGATGGATTGATGCCGCGTGCACGGTTAATGACTCGCGCGAGTGACGTGTCGCCGACAGATAACACGGATAGGGCTGTGGCCGCACAGAGAAGCAAGGGCAACGCAGCAACAACAACAACAATTACTACTACTACTACTACTGCACGGGCAGATGCCTCGAATAGACCCACAGACACCGGGCACACGCAGGCACGCAGTCCCGACAACCCCTCGCGTGTAGTTGCGCAAAGAGCTCCTCCTGCAGAGAGAGAACTGAACGCTCGTGTATCTGCCGATCGAGACCGAGCAAGTGACTGTACGAAGTCAACCACACGAAGCACCGCACCCCAGTTATCGGGTACGCGGACAAATGGCGGTCCGAAAACTGAGGTCAGGCGAAAGGGTGCAAAGAGGCCCAGTGCCAGCAGTACAGGACAGTCGTGGCGAGATAGTTTTGGTCTCGACTTCGCACGCGCGCATAAGCGACGCCGACAGGCGCAGTTAGGTGTGGAACAAACCAATGGAGAAGACAGTACACGCGCAAGGGTAAGGATACACGCAGATAGAGATACTCACATCCATGCGGATGACATTACGGGGGATCACGAAAATATAGACACAGGCAGACATGCGTATGTGGGGAGTGATGACGGTATCAGTGCAGAATATGTGAGGAATGAAGAGAAACGTCGGCAAAGGCAGCTGAAACGGCGCAGAGAGCGACAGACCGCCCAGGAGCAGCAGCAACGAGTGCACCTGCAGTCAGGGATGGGGCAAAAAGGCCCTAGAATTAGTAATCAGGTGCTGGGTAGTGCCGGAACTCAACAGCACACCGAACATAATTTTAGTCAGCACGCTGAAGTAGATGAAGGACGGCAACATAAACACGCATCGAAACATGGCCCGAAATCAACGGGTGATACTACATATGACGCACAGACAAACACAAGCAAACGCATTGTAGATAAAAGCGCGATTGATATTCGACTAGACGAAAGCACACATGACATTGCGGACCTGCATAAACGAACAAGGCAACGGATCACCGAGCACACGCACACGCACACAGCGCAACGATCGGCACCAGAAGAGGCGCAAACTCAAGCAGAGATAGAGAAGGGTGCGCACAGATACGCCCAACGAATGTCTACGCAAACGGAACACGAACTCAGATCGCCTGAGGAAGGCACGCCAGAGGTGTTTCCCACGAAGAAACGAGTCATGCCCAGAAACGGGACAAAATCGGGACTGGTGGGAAAGGCTGCCAGTACAATAGAGAAGCTGGCAAGCTTCAGATATGTGAAGCCGCCGGAAGGTAGGTGTCCTGTTTCTGCATTTGGGGGCGGAAGGGGAGCAGGGGTGTGTTTATGGGATGTTCGATAGGGTAGGCTTAAGATTATGAAGAATACATATAATGTAAGTGTTGCCATACTTCTTTATTTTTTACAAAGTAGTCATCTAACATAGTGACAATCGAGTCCTTTCATCAGATATTACAGGAACTGCGCTCTGTTTTAGTAGGCTCTTGCGTGCGTTGCAAACGGACATGGTTGTATATGTGTGTATTCACGTGTATGTGGTGTGTGTTCGCATATGTACACGTTAACATCCACAGAGTTGATAGCCCAACGTATGCGACTACATGAGAAAATATAGGAATTGTCGGAGTAGGCACCCGAATGAACTAAGTAACCTATAGACGCCCTGTTTTCCTTCTTGTACCTCTAATGCATTTACTATATTATATTTCTTCAGTAAAAGATAATGTTTCCATGCATTGCAAATTTTATACTTCACAGCCTCTATTAGATATATTGAATAAGTAAATATCTAGAGTTTAGTGTATATATTCAATGACTTTCGACACCGCATCGTCATTGTACCAAATAGAAGGGCCGTTTAATAGTACATCCATTGACCTCTATACCTCGTATCAAGAATGTTCCGATCTCATGCCACTAGTTCTCACAGTTCTAATCGCACTGTGTGTAGTGTGTATATATGTACGTGAGCAATTGTGCAAACCCTAGTCCGTTTAACAATTCCTCAATCGCCTGGGTTTTACGGGGTCTCATACTGCCCTATTTTCGTGCGTTGCAGAGCTCCAGACGAACAAACCAAGCACGGGAACACGAGCGACCGGAAACAAGACATCCGAAATTCACCTCACAAGTGCCGTTGTCACTAAATCCGCTACCAGACTTCCGAACATTCAAGACTCACAACATTTAGCAAACAACGCAATGCCAACTAGCGACTCCGTACGCAACGGTGGGGGTCACAATGATAAAACAAGCGGTGGGTGTAGGGATACCATCTCAGACGATAGCATCAGTACATCTGCCACTGCACCTCACGCGACTCAATCACACACGCGCAAGCAGACTCCAACGGAGGGCAAGGGGCCAACAGAACATGAAGTCAGCGGACATGTGTCGATGGCATGGAACGTGACGACGAATGCTGTACCAAACACCGCCGACACCACGCATGGATTATGCCTTGGCACCACACAGTGGCAGAGTGTAGGTGTCTCATCTAGTACCAGCCATGTATCTGATCAGGCGGCACCACATCACCCGGCTACTACAGCTGACAACGTGTGCTCTGCAGGGAACGGTAGTCTGAGCGTGGCAGCGTTAGCGACAGAGAGGTCAACCCGAACCATTATCGCAAATGACCCACAGGATACTGAATCGCTTGATGTTGTGCGAAACGGGTCGTATATAAGTTTGGGGAGTACCCAGACACCCAATGCGAGTCTGAGTGAGGAGAGTGCGGCTTTGACCACTACCACAAATATACCGACACACTCGATTAAGAAGGCCAAAGACCGATCGACAAACGTTCATGCGCAAGTACAGCTGAATACGCACATCGCCTCAGATACCACTTGTGTCTCAGAAAGATTGCCTCTGTCAACGGTCCCAAATAAGGAGAACATACCATCGAAGACAAATATTGTGACGATAGGCTCCGATTCTATACTGCCGAGTGTTGTCTTTGCTCAGGGTGCTCTAGAGCCTCAAAGGGCAGTAAACCTTTCAACACTTGGTGTCAACCCTCTGGCCAAAAAGATACCCAGTCTGTTCGACTCCGCATTTCTACCAGAAAGCGATGACGAGTTTGAGCTCGGTTAATAAAACATACTAAGTTCACTCAGGGCCACATGCATATGGTTTTCATATTTAGACCTCAGGTGTAATAATCCCTTCGAATCAACGTACTTCATTTAATATCCTTCATCTTTTGACAATTCTCCACAGTACAGCTAACAGCTTGTTTTTAATTTGAAATGTAGCCTTACATGCAGCAGGTGTTCAGTCCAAAAAGTCAAGAGATTGCCGCTGGAATCGCATACAACTACCCGCTGTCTCTCATTACCACGGACAAATATAACTAAATTTTTATACCCGTCCCGATGAGATTGTAGACCTGTACCCCTATGTTGGCTTCTAAAACAAGGATCCTTCCGTTATTATTATCTTCGAGGGGGGCGTCGCTTCTCTGGAAGAGAGATTTAGTGTATATCAGAGTATCCAAAAATTATCAGCGAGTTACAGAATCTTTAATAAATACTGGGTTCAAGAATATTTGGGTTTGATGAAATCAAAGGCGCATTGAGCGATACTTACCGTCAAATCGAGCACCGCTCACCAATAACACATTTGTATTTTATACATACATGTATGCAAACAGGCAGCATGATCTATATGACAAACAATCATGTATGCAACGAGTGGGTTTGCCCGTATATTACGGAAACTATATTGTGCAATTTAAGCCCTTTTCAGTTTGAAGGATACGCCTTCGTTTAAGATTACTTCACGATGATATCTTCACTTTGAGCGAAACTTTCGTAGTTGTCTGCAGGAAATGTTGCTGCTCAGAAACCGCTGAAAATTGTCCGTTCGTAATATTGCCACAAATAGTTCAAAATGTCGTCCTCTGGTACTATACACTGCAGGAATGCATATCGGACAAATAGTTCAAAATGTCGTCCTCTGGTACTATACACTGCAGGAATGCATATCGGGACCAATTGTAGTTAAATGACGAATCCTCAAACGAAAGTGGTAGTTCTATTTGGATGTCTCTGAAACGCATGTTTTAATTTAATTTTGTATTGTCAGACTGCATTGTCAAACTTGACATGTGGATGAAGTATAACAAGGCCATCGAAAACTTCAGGGGGAAAGGCTCAAATAAATGAACGGCACTATGTTCAAGATATAGGTGACTCGGCATTCGATTTTAAGCGTGTTTAGAGAAACCCTGTGTGAACACAATATCCTATTCACATTTAGATGGTTCAGATGCTCTATGGAGTGATTGACGTCCTTTTTTTCGGTCCTGAAAAATTAGGCATACAAGAAATGAATTTTCACTTTTACTTTTGGTAAGTAGAAGCATACTTTTTTTAATAGAAAAGGGGTATGACAAACTGTGAGAGGCATTCACAGTTGACTATCAATGCGTTGGCAATAGATCTGAGAGAAATTTCGGAATGGACTAAGTAACAGAGTTTATTGGTAGGTGGCTATTAGTACTAGTTGCGGATAATGAATGCAGTAGATACTTCCACTGTATTTACACAATCACTAGTGCATTCAAAGATATAGGACAATCAATGATAGTAACAAGAGAAGCCCTTTCGCCCTAGCCATCGATGCATTCAAGGCTAGAGATAAAACGGTGCAAAAATGCTATTCGTAGATCATCTGAGACCAATGTTAACCAGACATTTAGTAGCAATGTTATCGCAGTTTCTGTGACGTCAAAAAAATCAAGTCTACGTGTCACGACTTACAGGCGACTAGCGTTACGGGAGTCGTAAACGATTCAAAAGCAGTGTAGGTAAAAGATAAAAATATATCATGGTACTTAAAAGTGTTCTGCATAAGGTTTGTCATACTGATTATATGAGGTTTGACCTTGGTCAACCCAAGTGTTTGAATACTAGTACAAACATCATCAATATATAACTGAGAGTAGACATATTCCATTTAACAGTTGATGAGGTAATGGTTACAGTCAGGACTTCAATTTAAGCTAACAGACCTGGCTCACTGTCATACATTGCACTGTACAACAAGTTCATAGACGATATGTTTGCGGAGTCAATGCATTTTGAAGTCATCACTTGGTATATGCTTAACAATCGGCTAAAACAACCCCTAGTTGCACACTACAATTAGCTTTTAGATGAACACTATGTTTGTATTTCCAAGCCCGTCCTCACGATAAACAAGAAGTATGGTTTGCTGCGAAAGATGGCGTTCACGAGCGCCGACTGGTACAGAATCAAAGCACAGTGTTGATATTTAATACAAAGCCTTAGCAATATTTTTGGCAAGCCGTCGTCAATATACGAATGATGGCTGCTGAAGTGGAGGGACAAATTAAGAGTGTGCGAGCACTTCGAAAGGTACTTTTCTATTGGCAGGGCACGTAAGCTTAAGAATTGGGCTCATCACCCATTGTTAAAGTAGTTAGTACCTGGACAACCCGGAGAGATCTCAGATACGTGTTTATACTGGACTGGCACAATAATATAAATGGGTTTACATAGGTCTCTACAAACGAAGAAAGCTTCAATTTTCAACGGACTACGTGATTATGATTGAAAAGAAACTCAGCGTAGGTGTTAAGGCAGTAGCACAGATCATT